TTATGTAACATTTATAGTTTATTCCTTTTATAAAATACTTTGGTACTCAATTCCAGAGCTTCCGATGGAGGTCATAGGGTTGATCCTTGAGAAGTTGATGATGCCTGATCACGCCCAATTCAGTTTCATCTGCAGGTCATGGAAACTAGCTGTTCTAGATCAAATTGCCTTTGTCACAGCCCGATTCCCGATGGCTCATGATGCATAGTAAAGTCTACAATAAGAGTGTTAGGTTCTTGAGTTTATGCGAAAACAAAACCTATGACATCCTTGTAGGCTGTCTAAAAATCACAATAGATAGCTGATCCCCATCAAGCTTCAACAAACAAAAGCTACAAACAGAGGACTTTTCACATAGATCAAGAAGAGTTACAAATCAACGACACTTCTGACAGCTGATGAAAACTCTATTCAGTAGCCTTTATAACCAACTATGAGAGTTACAATCTGACGACTTTCACACCCCATAACAAGCAAAGATCAATGAGCAGTAGCCTTTGCGATGTTGTAATGGACGAGGTTACAAGCCAACAACCTCTCCCAAACGCAGAGTCCATCTCTGCGTTTCCCAAACTCAAAACGCATACAAACCATGCGTTCTCCAGCAGACATTCAACTCTGCAACGCAGAGTTAAAACACAAAACGCACAGACTGTGCGTTCTTCAGCAAACACTCAACCATGCGTCTCAAACTCAAGACGCAGAGTTGAGATTCAGCACACAAGCGGCCTGTGCGCATGCGGCCTGTGCGTTTCAAATCTCTAGTAGAGATTTAACTTTGCGTCTCAAGCCTTAGGCGCAGAGTTAAGGCCCAGAACGCCAAGTTAGGCGTTTGACTTGTTCAAACACAGGTTGAACGGCCTAACAACCGTTTATCCCACGTTCTGAGGGATTCTCGCCCACATAGGAGAGGATTTAGGGGTTGGTTACACCCCTTATCCCCCTATAAATAACCGCATTACTCAACTGAGTAAAGGGTTGATCGGTCTCGGCAGCTAAACCGCACGGAGAAGGCGATTTTCCTGAAGATCAACGAACTGATCGGCAGTTAGTTAATCAAATCTCAGAGAATCCCTTCACCAACGGCAGATCTACTTGGCTATTAACCGAATTTTCGGTTCTAACAACTCTGTTACAGAGTTTCAACTCGCTCTGAGTTCTTAAACTCGTTAAGAGTTCTTAATTAAACTTGCAACGCAAGTTAATTACACTAATCGATTATTCGGTTTTCAACAACTCTTTTCAGAGTTTTCAACTCGTTCTGAGTTTCTTAAACTTGTTAAAAGTTCTAAACCAGATTCATCATACAAGTCAATCGTTCTCGTGAGACAGGGCGGTCTGATCGTCAACGGAGAGCAAATTCGACGCAGGCATTCGAAGGAGGCACTCCATCGCTACCAAGAAGAACCCAGTTTGAAACAAAGGGGAGAATCAAATTCATTCTCCTCTCTTTTGTAATCAGAAAATCCAATTGTAACTGAAATTAAAGGAATACAAATCAATTTTCCTTCATTTCTTTTACTACAAATTTTTTCACAAACAATCCTTCTCCCTCATCTAGATTTCGAAAGATGCGTGTGCATTAGATCTTCTCATGGCTGGCTCATAACTGTACTGTACAGTTTGACAAAGATGCATCTTTTGAATCCGATGAATGGTGCTCAAATTGAGCTCCCCTCTGTCTACTTATGTTAAACTTAAACCGAATATGATTCTGCTATATTAAGTGGACATATACTTAAATAATTTTGGTTACCTCATTTATTTTGTTGTCTTTTTCTGTTTTTGAAGACTTTGTCTATTGGATTTCATTATAATTTTAACTTTATTCTAGGCGTAGTCTTCTTTGGTATGTTTATGATTCTGCTATATGACATTTCTACAATATACTGGTTTTTCATATGCCAAATGAGTGTTCTTTATGATCCTATTTATAATTATATTACGTCTATTTATATCATCAAATAATAAAAGTCACATATCTTTTCGAGAACAAGCATAAATTGCCAATTAAAAGTCATTCAATTAAAACCTAATATATATTATCTATAACATCTTTCAAATATATGCCACATAGAAAAAAATTATCAATGCAATAAAAACTTAGGGGCTACATATAAAATGAAAGTGGTTCATCTTTCAAATATATGCCACATAGAAAAAAATTATCAATGCAATAAAAACTTAGGGGCTACATATAAAATGAAAGTGGTTAAAAAATTATCAATGCAATAAAAACTTAGGGGCTACATATAAAATGAAAGGTGGTTAAACGTGCATCGCACGTGCACCATACTAATATTATGAAAATGAAAATTGGTGATTAACCTCTGCTTCAGATGAATCACAAACATACACATTACTTGTTCACTAGGATGTATTCAATTGTCTGTCCTACCCCTGATCGGTTAAGGACCCCAGGTTCCACTTTTTTTGCTTCGCTTTCAACATCTACATCTATACTGCAGTAAGTTAATCTACATCTATATTTATTGTGAAATCCACTTACTTTTGGTGATAATGTTTTTACTGTGTTTGTGGAACATTATGATGATGGAACATATTGTTGTCATATGTAGTAAGTATTTATTTGCTTTCATTTTGTAATATTTATCTTCTATGGTTAATATCTTATTGTGGAATACTAACTTTTTAAATTGAATTTGTGAATGCAGGATATTTCCTAAGATGCAAGCAACCTACAATGTGTACACATTGTACTGGATGGCTATTGCTCTGGGGCATTTAGGTATTTGGTTTTCGTTGGTGATTTTTTTATTTTTAGGCTATGATGATTGTTAATTTTTCTGAGATTAGCAACCTGCAATATCTATTGATATTGCATTGGATGGCTAACAATGATGATATTGACCAAGTTCTGAGCCCTAAGCTAAACACAATATGTGCTCGGGATTGTTGGTGGTTGTTGTTGTTGGTTGTTGCTGGTTGTTGGTTGATCTTGTTGTTGGTTGATCTTCTTGTTGGTTGATCTGGTTGTTGGTTGTTGGTTGATCTTGTTGTTGGTTGTTGCTGATTTCATTCCTTCTGATTTTGTTCCTTGTGTTTTTTGTTGTTGGGTTTGTGATTTCATTCCAGGTTGCTAAAAGATGCTCTGGTTTGTGCTATGTTTTGTGCACATATGACATCTTCTCTTTTGCTCAAGTTCTATTTGAGCTCATGTTTTGTGGATGCTCTGTTGTTCAACTTCTATTTGAGCTCATGTTTGCTCATGACCAGTTTTACTGATGCTCTGGTTTGTGCTATGTTTGTGTTCAGTCACTTGGAGTTCTATGTGTGTTCAGATTTTCCGCACTGTTTGTTGATTATGATACTGTTTGTGGGTGTTCAATTTAGGCTATGATGATTGTCAATTTTTTTGAGATTAGCAATATGCAATATCTATTGATATTGCACTGGATGACTAACAATGATGATATTGAACAAGTTCTGAGCCCACAGCCATAATTCGCATATACATGTGGTTGATTTATTTGACATAGTGTCAAGAAATATTTTCAAATGATTTTTTGCACATAAAGTTCAACATGCATAAATTATCAGGATCGATGCTATTTG